ATGAGCCCGGACACTTCGCGAACCGTTGTCCGAAGAAGGGGCAGCAGCCTCAGCAGACTCAGCAGCCTCAACAGCCACAGCAGCAGCAGCAGCCCCGTCAGCAGGCACAGAGGCAGCCCCAGCAGCAGCAGCAGAGGGGCAGACAGCAGGCCAGAGTTTATGCCATCGATCAGGCAGAGGCCGAGCAGCAGCCAGGTACCATGTCCGGAATGGTTATTCTTAATAATGTTCCTGTATTCGCTTTATTTGATACCGGAGCTACGCATACCTTCATTTCACGACGATGTCTTGACGCCATCGGAGTTCGCGCTACTACCGCTATTTATCCTCTCGAGGTGAGTTTGGCCTCGGGACGAAAGATAGTGACTTCAGCTAAAGCCTCAGATCTTAGCCTTTCCATCGGTGGCCGAGTTTTGCCTACCGACGCGTTTGTTCTTGAGATGAAGGACTTCGACCTGATTCTCGGAATGGATTGGCTATCCTTCTATCATGCAGATATCAAGTGTCATGACCGGAAGACTACTCTCTATCTTCCGAGAGACGAGTCGATTACTTTCTTCGGCTCCAGAAATCGTTCTTTGCCTCAGGTTGTTTCTATGGCGAAAGCCACTAAGTTGCTGCGACGAGGCAACTACCAGGGTTATCTGGTGAGCCTTGTTGATGATTCTCAGAAAGCGCGTTCACCTCACGATGTTCCAGTCGTTCGAGAGTTTGTGGACGTATTCCCAGACGAGCTTCCAGGAGGACCGCCCGATCGGCAGGTGGAGTTTTCTATAGACCTTATTCCAGGGGCCGGTCCAGTATCCAAAGCCCCGTACGGTATGGCTCCTAAGGAGTTGCAGGAGCTTAAGGCGCAGATTCAGGAGCTGTTACGACTCGGTTTCATCCGACCGAGCGTGTCACCTTGGGGAGCACCCGTTCTCTTTGTTAAGAAGAAGGACGGATCCATGCGCATGTGTATCGACTACCGGGATCTTAACCGGTTGACGATCAAGAACAAGTATCCGCTTCCCAGGATCGATGACTTATTTGATCAGCTGAGGGGAGCCTGTGTGTTCTCGAAGATTGATCTTCGATCAGGCTATCACCAGCTGAAGATCAAGGAGTCAGATATCGCTAAGACCGCTTTCAGGACTCGTTACGGCCATTACGAGTTCGTAGTCATGCCTTTCGGTCTCAGCAATACGCCAGCAGTTTTCATGGACCTCATGAACCGTATTTTCCATTCCTACCTCGATCAGTTTGTTATTGTCTTTATTGACGATATTCTTGTCTACTCGAAGAGCCAGAAGAAGCACGAGGAGCATCTGAGGGTGGTTCTTGAAACCCTCAGACGAGAAAAGTTGTTCGCAAAATTCTCCAAATGCGAGTTCTGGCTCCAGCGAGTATCCTTTCTGGGTCATGTGATTACTCAGGTATTGAGGTGGATCCTTCCAAGGTTTCAGCCGTTCAGAATTGGTCAGCACCGAGGAGTCCGACTGAGGTTCGTAGTTTTCTCGGTCTAGCTGGATACTATCGCAGGTTCATTGAGGGCTTTTCCAAGATTGCCCTCCCTCTATCCCAGCTGACTAGGAAGTCTGTGAAGTTCGAGTGGACTGACAGATGTGAGTTGAGCTTCCAGGAGCTCAAGAGGAGATTAACTTCAGCACCGGTGTTGACTATTCCCGACCCTTCTCGGAGTTTCACCATTTTCAGTGATGCTTCGAAGCAGGGCTTGGGATGTGTCCTTATGCAGGACGGCCAGGTCGTTGCGTATGCTTCCTGTCAGCTCAAGCCGCACGAGCAGAATTATCCGACGCAAGACTTAGAGTTAGCAGCAGTTGTTCATGCTCTCAAGATATGGCGGCACTACCTTTACGGCGGTCACTGTGAGATTTTCACAGATCATAAGAGCTTGCAGTATATTTTTACTCAGAAGGAGCTCAACATGAGACAGCGCCGTTGGTTAGAGCTCGTCAAGGATTACGACTGCTCTATTCAGTACCATCCGGGAAAGGCGAACGTCGTCGCAGATGCCCTAAGCCGTCAGGTGAAGGGTGATTTGACGTACGTCATTACTCAGCAGAGTCCGCTGATTCAGGAGTTTGCCCGGATGCAGCTTCAGGCGATCGATGCACTTCCCATAGCAGTTTCGGTGAGTACCAGTGCCAGTGTCAGTGCTATGCAGCTTCAGCCGACGCTGAGAGAGAGAATCCGGCGAGAGCAGGCCTCTGACGAGTTCATTCGTGTCATGGAGGCCAAGGTTCGCCGCCGGAGGCGTCGAGAGTTTTCAGCTAGGTGCCGATGGTGCCCTAGAGTTCAGAGGCAGGATAGTGGTCCCGAAGGTCGAGGCGTTGCGGAAGGAGATTTTATCAGAGGCTCATACCGCACCATATTTAGCCCATCCCGGGAGCACGAAAATGTATCACGACCTGAAAGGGTCGTTCTGGTGGCGAGGCATGAAGAAGGACGTCGCCGAGTTTGTCAAGAGATGTCTAACCTGTCAGCAAGTTAAGGCCGAGCATCAGAGTCCGATTGGCCTCCTACAACCACTGCCGATTCCGAAGTGGAAGTGGGAGGAAGTCACGATGGACTTCGTTACGGGATTGCTGAGGTCGTCTGAACATCACGACACTATTTGGGTCGTGGTCGACAGATTGACGAAGGTGGCACAGTTCTTACCCGTTTCGATGAGGATGTCCATGGATAAGTTGGCTGAGATATATGCCCGTGGGATCTTCCGACTCCACGGAGTGCCCGTTACGATTGTATCAGACAGAGATCCCAGATTCGTCAGTCGATTCTGGCACAGCTTGCATGAGGCGATGGGCACGAAGCTTGAGTTCAGTTCAGCCTACCATCCAGAGACAGACGGTTAGTCAGAACGGACTATTCAGACGCTGGAGGATATGCTTCGCGCTTTGGTTGTTGACAGGGGTGCCAAGTGGGAGTCGTTGTTGCCTTACGCAGAGTTCGCGTATAACAACAGCTATCATTCCTCTATTCAGATGGCTCCTTTCGAGGCACTTTACGGTCGCAAGTGTCGTTCCCCTCTCTATTGGGACGACTTCGGAGAGCGACGAGCACTCGGTCCTCAGTTGATCGAGGAGACAGCAGATCAGGTCGAGTTGATCCGGCAGAGACTCAGGACAGCTCAGAGTCGTCAGAAATCTTCCGCCGATCATCATCGACGAGATATTCAGTTTGAGGTTGGCGAGCACGCCTTTCCCAGAGTTCGTCCGGCTCGCGGAGTTGTGCGATTCGGCAAGAGAGGGAAGTTGCACCCTCGTTTCATCGGTCC